ATGGTTAAATGTGCAATACAAATGCAGTCATGATACTTGCATGCTTATTCATAAAATTATTCTAGGTTATACTCCCTAGGTGCTTTTACCTCTTCCAATCATAGGTAACACCACCTGCGTCCAAATAAGACAGGTAAACTTATTAAATACATTTTAAAATGGAATTGAAGGACCATCTCATAAGTTATCAATGACATCAGGTTTCTATATGAAGAAACACGACTCAAATCTTCTACCATGAATTTTATGATCTTATATGTACTGTGATATAACTTTTTTATGTAACGAATGGAGTAAAGTATTTTAGATGTGATTTTTTTTTCTCCCTCATGGTCTCTTCCTCTTCATTCCCTTTCTTATTCCTAAATTCTTTCTCTTTCTCTCTTCTTCCCTCTTTCAAATGTTGAAAATCATACAGATAGAACACCTGTTAGACACACACACACACACACACACACACACACACACACACACACACACACACACACACACACACACACACACACACACACACACGTACAATAAACGAAATTCATGCATACAGATGGGATACCATTTAAAGCACAGACACAAACAAACGGACACGCATCATACAAACCACACGCACAAAACAAACTTAAACAAACAACTCACATCCACACACACGCATGCGCAAACAAACCAAATCCAAGCAATAAATGATAAACAAACCACCCAAATCCACGCGCACACACGCAAACCACACGTACAAACAACGATAAACAACCCAGATCCACACGCACGCGCACACACGCAAACCACACGCACAAACAACGATAAACAAACACCCCATATCCACACGCACCCGCACACACGCAAACCACACGCATAAACAACGATAAACAAACAACCGAGATCCACACGCACACACGCAAACCACACGCACAAACAACGATAAACAAACAACCCAGATCCACACGCACACGAACACGCGCACAAACAACGATAAACGAACAACCCAGATCCACACGCACACGCACACACGCAAACCACACACACAAACAACGATAAACAAACAACCCAGATCCACACGCACGCGCACACACGCACAAACCACGATAAACAAACAACCGAGATCCACACGCACGCGCACACACGCAAACCACACGCACAAACAACGATAAACAAACAACCCAGATCCACACGCACACGCACACACGCAAACCACACACTCAAACAACGATAAACAAACAACCCAGATCCACACGCACACGCACACACACAAACCACACGCACAAACAACGATAAGCAAACAACCCAGATCCACACGCACGCGCACCGGCAGGTAAGATGTCTTTCACTTCCGGCAGAACCTCTTCACCTGCATAAGGGCGTTTCCGGTTGCAGCAGCCTCGCCGGAAGTCAGTCGTTGCAAGATTTCGAGACACCGTTTTGCAAGATCCACCGCTCTGTTCCTTCATTTATCATCTTATTTCAGTTTCTCTTAATCGCTTCCGAGGGTTTGGCGAGGGAAAGAAGATTGGGGTGGGGTGGGGGTGGGGGTGGGGGGGCTGAGACACTCTCGATGGCTTGTGTGGAACAATTTCCAAATTATCTGTCTCACTTTTTTTTGTTTATTTTATTTATTTATTTATTTATTGTTTCTGTGTATGGTTGTCTCTATTTCGGCCTCTGTCTCTGTTTCAGTCTCTGTACTCGTCTGGTTCTCTCTGTCTCTGTCTGTCTGTCTGTCTCTCTCTCTCTCTCTCTCTCTCTCTCTCTCTCTCTCTCTCTCTCTCTCTCTCTCTCTCTCTCTCTCTCTCTCTCTCTCTCTCTCTCTCTCTCTCTCTCTTTCTCTCTCTCTCCCTCTCTCTCTCTTTCTATATCTGTCTCCAAACTGAATACATTTTTCATCCTCTGTCAGAAGAATATTCATAAGGAAAATCCTTTTCATTTCCTATTTCTTTTCCTATATCCTTTTTCATTTGTCAGCATTACTTTCATTTCCTCCAATAGCACATTCCTATTACTCTCATCACTATATTTTTTTATACTAGTAAGCAAAGGTTATTTCATAATACTAATAAGCATATGTTAGGGTACGTTAGGTTAGGTATGGATAGTATACGATATTCAAGTTAAGATTACGTGGGCTTAGGTAAGGTAGAATAAAGTTAGTTTAAGTTCGTTTTAGTTAGGTTAGTAAGTTAGTTAGTAGGTGCGTTAGTTAACAACAGTGATATTTAGACAATATCTACTTCATTATCCTTTCTACGTTTTCTTTGCCCATTACTATTCTTATTGTTGTTTGTGTCCCTATTTTCACCATCATCTGCATTGCAATCGTTATCATCATCATAATTATACCTTGATGCAAAATAACTTGTAGGAATTCGTATGAGATCAGATATGTTTGCGTGTCTCCATCTATATTTAAAGAAGCTTCTCATGCATGACTAATGCATGACCTGTGCTGGTACCTCTCTCTCTCTCTTTCTCTCTCTTTTATCTGTTTCTCTGCTATGCTTGTCTATATCCCTCT